GGAGGCCAAGCTGCACCTGCGCCGGGCCAACCCGTCGCTGTTCCCCAGCCTGCAGGCCCGGGGCATCCGCCGCGTGCAGATCCTGAGCCTCCGCCGCAGCCTTAGCTACGTGATCCAGGGCATGGCCAATATCGAGAGCCTCAACCTCAGCGGCTGCTACAACCTCACCGACAACGGGCTAGGCCACGCGTTTGTGCAAGAGATCGGCTCCTTGCGCGCCCTCAACCTGAGCCTCTGCAAGCAGATCACCGACAGCAGCCTGGGCCGTATCGCTCAGTACCTCAAGGGTCTGGAGGTGCTGGAGCTGGGGGGCTGCAGCAACATCACCAACACCGGCCTCCTGCTTATCGCCTGGGGACTGCAGCGCCTCAAGAGCCTTAACCTCCGCAGCTGCCGCCACCTTTCGGACGTGGGCATCGGGCACCTGGCCGGCATGACGCGCAGCGCGGCCGAGGGCTGCCTGGGCCTGGAGCAGCTCACGCTACAGGACTGCCAGAAGCTCACAGATCTTTCCCTAAAGCACATCTCCCGGGGGCTGACGGGCCTGCGGCTCCTCAACCTCAGCTTCTGCGGGGGCATCTCGGACGCAGGCCTCCTGCACCTGTCGCACATGGGCAGCCTGCGCAGCCTTAACCTGCGCTCCTGCGACAACATCAGTGACACCGGCATCATGCATCTGGCCATGGGCAGCCTGCGCCTCTCGGGGCTGGATGTGTCCTTCTGTGACAAGGTGGGGGACCAGAGTCTGGCTTATATCGCCCAGGGGCTGGACGGCCTCAAGTCCCTCTCTCTTTGCTCCTGCCACATAAGTGATGATGGCATCAACCGCATGGTGCGGCAGATGCACGGGCTGCGCACACTCAACATTGGACAGTGTGTGCGCATCACAGACAAGGGCCTGGAGCTGATCGCTGAGCACCTAAGCCAGCTCACTGGCATAGACCTGTACGGCTGTACCCGCATCACCAAGCGCGGCCTGGAGCGCATCACACAGCTGCCCTGCCTCAAGGTACTCAACTTGGGACTCTGGCAGATGACGGACAGTGAGAAGGTCAGGTGAGGACGGCAGCACCTTGTCCCGCCTGTTCATCCCCTCTTCACCACCACCGTCCCCCATACACTCATACATAGATCATGCAGTCGCTGAGATGGGGCAGTGACAGGAAGCCCAGGCTCCTTTTCTCCTCCTCCAGCGCCCCTCCCCACTACCAGCCCCTTTCCCACTGCCTCTGGTGTTCCCCTCTGCCACTTCTGTCCAGCCCCCTCTCCCTCACCCTGCCTATGGAAAGAAAGATGGACTCTGCTGCTCAACCACCCATTCCTCTGCAGGGGGATGAGGACTGCTTCAGCCAGTGTCCCCGCTGCCTTGCATTTGGATATGGGTGGGGAGGGGACTAGTCCTTTCAACCCGAGGAGCTGAGGAAAAGGTCTGCCTTCACGATTTCATTTGGATACTGTGATCAGGTTTTTCAAAATGTATAAAAAACAACCAACTACAACCGCCTTTTCACCCTTCTTCCACTGTAACTGATCCCAGCCTCTTTCATCACTTCTTTTACAGTACTCTGCTATTCATGCTCATTTCATTTTTATCTACTTTTTTTTTTTCAAGAAATTGGAAGACATGGTCCTTTTTTTTCTGCTGAATATATTC